AGGTGCAAGCTCAATACCGTTACTTTCTTGTAGGGCCTTCCCGAGAACCCAGTCAAGGGCGTAGTTAAAGAGGATGGGCAACAGGACACAGCCTCGCCGAACGCGTGACCAAATAGCGAGGGGTTCTGAGAGGTTGTTGTGGACTAAAACCCGCGCAGTGGTAGAGCGGTAGTATGCCCTGATCATAGTGATTCGTTTTGGTGGCGAAGTGTTTCATCAAGGTGATCCAATTGTGGAAAATTCGCGGCCCCGGTGGGAGTTGACCCCACATAGCAGATAAGGTTTTTGCCGTAAATTTACTCGCACCTGGGTCGCTTTACCTGCCCAAGTTACTGCTGGTATGGAATCCACCCTTACGGAACAGTAAACTGACTGCCCAGGCAGGATTTCCTAAGCGCTCATCTAGAATCCACCAGAATGACTACCAGGCTCACTTAATTGTCAGGCGGGAGGTTGGCACATTTGTGGTCCCGCTGCGACGATAGCTTTCTAGGAGGAATTGAAGGCCGCGCATTTCATCCGTAGTATTAGTCAATCCTTCATTATTCCCTCCATAATTTGTGACTCATAGACTTTCTTTAACTATTTCTAACAGATGATAAGCTACTACGTTTTGTATATTGTGCTTTGTTTTTCTAATCTAATCTAAGAACTCTTAGGGTCGAGCGCCTGCAAACTAAGTTGTGTGCGGCGGACTTCCGAAGCTTGCGCTTTGCTAGAGTCTACTAAGAAAAAGCTGATGACTGCCAGGCCTTTTCATCCCCCTGATGATGATAGTTCGACCATCGGTTTCGAGGATGTCCTTCATAGGCCGAGATTTAAGTGAAATAGACGCGCAACTGCCTACCCATTTGAACCGGCGACAAGACAGAGTCAAGATGACCAGATGGGATCGGGTGTAGACCACTTTCTCGAATGCAGGCCAGAACACCGCCTGAAGTGACAGTAGACTTTGTGCGGGTAATACCACACTATTTACCCTCATTCACCTTCAGTAGGTGTCAAAACCGATCCAAGGAAACCAAGGCTGGTACTGCTACTATTGCTATTTCTACAACTACAAGCTAGGGATGTGGTAGAGTGATATTATTGCAAGTACTATTTCTGGCTCAATTATTAGTCAGAATTGATGCCGATGAAAGTCAGCACTGGGCGCATATCTCCTCAATCTCAACAAGAAGTGTAGTAGTGCTGGTACTAGCACTGACGCTGCCATTTGTCAAAAGTGACGCTGATCAAAGCCTACG